TTGCTCGATAAGTTGAATTCGATCGCCACAAGGGAACCTTGATAAGATTTAGTCCTCAAGAGAACTCAAGAAGAAAACTTCTCTATATAAATTTTTGCCTCCCCTTAGAAATCTATAAGCAACCTTATATAGGGTGCTAACCCTAATCCTAATCCTACTAGGATTAAAATTACAAAAATAACCTTAATTACTAAAAATTCGTCCAAAAATGGAAAAAGGCCTAAAAGTTCATCTAAACGACTCCAAATCGCTAAAAAACGTCATCACTCACTACTAAAGTAGTGTGTATTGATCAGCGGCCCGTTTCCAAGCGTCCATCCAAATTTGAGCCAATTCGGAGTTTGTCAATTCTAAGCTCCTTCGGAATTCGCTGGACCAAGAGTAATCATGTTGCGCCAAGGAGCTTCAGAATCTTCAAGTTTCGAATCCAGATTGTCTCCATTCCAAATATCTTGAACCATGATGCCGACAGCTTGTTTGAATTCCTTCGCTCTCGCTCGAGTGATCGGGTCTAGCGGATAGAACAACGGGTCCCTAGCACCTTCTCCTCGATAGGGTTCGATGTCCACATCATTCCCTCCCCCGTGCAAAGGATTTGTCCTCAAATCAGCGTATGCATAAAAAAGAGTCAAATCAGAAACATTGAAAGTAGCACTAATACCATACTCACCTGGAAGGTCAAGCTTGTAAGCATTATCATTGACTCTTTCCAACACTATAAATGGTCCATCCCCTCGTGGTAGCAATTTAGAGCGTCACTGTTTGGGGAAACGCTCTGTGCGCATATGAACCCAAACCCAATCACCGGGCTCAAACACTACTTTCTTGCGCCCTTTGTTGGCTTGCTTTGCATGCTGCTCTGTCTTAAGCTCAATATTCAGCCGCGTCTTCTCATGCAAAGTCTTCACAAATTCAGCTTTCTTAGCACCATCTAAATCCACACGCTCAGTAACAGGCAAAGGGGTTAAATCTAACGGAGATAAAGGATTAAAACCATAGACAACCTCAAACGGTGTGAATTTAGTAGCAGAATGCATGCTCCTATTATAAGCAAACTCAACATGCGGTAAACAATCTTCCCAAGACTTAATGTTCGTTTTAATGATAGCACGCAATAATGTCCCTAAAGTCCTATTAACTACTTCAGTTTGACCATCAGTTTGTGGATGACAAGTAGTAGAGAATAAAAGTTGTGTACCTAACTTCTTCCACAATGTCTTCCAAAAGTAGCTTAGAAATTTAGTATCTCAATCAGAAACAATGGACCTAGGCATGCCATGCAAACGCACAACCTCACGAAAGAACAATTCAGCAACATTCGATGCATTATCAGATTTATGACAAGGTATAAAATGAGCCATCTTTGAAAATCGATCAACAACCACAAAAATAGAATCCTCGCCATGCTTAGACCTAGGCAATCCTAACACAAAATCCATAGAGATATCAACCCAAGGATGCATCGGGATAGACAAAGGTGTATACAAACCATGTGGTTTAATCGTAGACTTAGCCTGCTTACATGCGATACATCTCTCGCAAACTTGTGTGACATCTCGTTTCATGTGTGGCCAAAAAAAATGTTCATGCAGCACTTCATAAGTCTTATTGATTCCAAAATGCCCCATTAAACCACCACTTATGTGCCTCTCGCACTAATAACTAGCGCAAAGAGCATCTAGGCAAACACAACTTATTTTCACGAAAGAGATATCCATCATGCCTATAAAACTTTTCAAACGCAGCATACTCACAAGCTTCAAATACTCTTCCAAAATCATCATCGTCAGCGTATAAACCTTTGATATGCTCGAAACCTAGACACTTTGCTCCTAGAGTAGTTAGAATTGCGTACCTTCGAGAAAGTGCATCGGCTACCATATTTTCCTTACCTTTTTTGTACTTGATTAGATATGGAAAAGTCTCAATGAACTCCATCCATTTGGAATGTCTTTTGTTCAACTTTTGCTGCCTCCTCAAGTACTTTAAGGTCTCGTGGTCGGTGTACATCACAAACTCCTTTGGCCACAAGTAATGTTGCCAAGTCTCCAAAGCTCGCACCAAAGCATACATCTCCTTATCGTAAGTCGGATAATTCAATGTCGCTCCGCTTAACTTCTCACTGAAATACGCTATGGGACGTCCTCCTTGCATCAACACAGCTCCAATTCCTGTACCAGAAGCATCGCATTCTATCTCAAAAGTAGTACTGAAATTCGGTAAAGATAACAAAGGAGCATTAGTCAACTTATCCTTTAACAGATTGAATGCTCTCTCTTGCTCTTCTCCCCATGTGAAACCCATGTGCTTCTTGATAACCTCGGTTAAAGGTGCGGCGATGGTGCTGAAATCTTTTACAAATCTACGATAGAAACTGGCTAAACCATGAAAGCTGCGCACCTCTCCTACTGTCTTAGGTGTCGGCCATTCACGGATTGCTTTCACCTTTTCTTCATCAACCTGTATTCCATCAGTACCAACAACAAAGCCTAGAAATACTAATTTGTCCGTTACAAAACAGCACTTCTTTAGGTTAGCATATAATTGCTCAGCCCTTAAAACCTGCAAAATAGCTCGCACATGCTCAATATGGTCATCAATGCTTCGACTATATATCAGGATATCATCAAAATAGACAACTACAAATCGACCAATAAAAGCACGCAGAACATGATTCATAAGTCGCATGAAAGTACTAGGTGCATTAGTTAAACCGAATGGCATGACTAACCACTCATATAACCCGTACTTGGTCTTAAATGCAGTTTTCCATTCATCCCCCTCTTTCATTCTAATTTGATGATAACCACTTTTCAGATCAATTTTAGTAAATATGCAAGCTCCATGCAATTCATCCAACATATCATCTAGCCTAGGAATAGGATGTCGATACTTTACCGTTATGTTATTGATTGCTCGGCAATCAATACACATTCGCCAAGACCCATCCTTCTTTGGCACCAACAAAACAGGAACAGCACATGGGCTAAGAGACTCTCTCACATATCTTTGCTTTAGTAATTCGCTAACTTGCTGCTGAAGTTCCTTTGTCTCTTCAGGATTGCTTTGATATGCAGGTCGGTTAGGCAATGGTGCACCAGGAATCAAATCGATTTGATGCTCTATGCCTCGAATCGGTGGTAAACCTCCAGGAAGCTCATCAGGAAAGACATCTTCAAATTCCTGCAACAAAGACACGACAGAACTTGGCAAATTTGGGTCAAGTTCGTTAGTAGTAAACAGTGTCTCCTTGTACAAAAGTACAAGTATCGGTCGATCCAGAATCAAAGCTCTCCTCACTTCACTCGATTTTGCATAGAAATTCTTTTCTCTCTTTTCTTTTCTCTCTCCTTTTCTCTCGGTTTTTACCACTCTACTCTTATCTTCCTCTCCTTTTACTTGCGTCTCAGAGTTTCCACGCAGGCCCTCAGTTTTATCACTTTTTCTCTCTCTCTCTCTCTCTCTCAGCCTCACGTTGTAGTTTCAATTGATCTTCATACACCTTAGTAGGTGTCATTGGCACCAATGTGTATGTCTTCTGATTCATCACCAATGAATATCGGTTAGTGTACCCGTCATGATGTACCTTTCGATCATACTGCCATGGCCTACCAAGTAAAAGATGCCCTGCTTGCATAGGTATAACATCACACATCACCTCATCCTTATATCGCCCTATCTCAAATGGAACTCGGACTTGCTTCGATACTTTTACTTCATCACTATCATTCAACCACTGCAATCTATATGGTCTTGGATGCTTTGCAGTCTTCAATCCCAACTTCTCCACCATGATACAACTTGCTACATTTGTACAACTACCTCCATCAACAATCAAGCTACAAATCTTACCATTCACCAAGCATCTTGTATGGAACAAGTTATCGCGTTGCTGGTGATGCTCCTCCTCTTTGACTTGAACACTAAGAGAACGCCTAACCACCATCAATTCACCCTTTGCTGGCATCTCAACATCACTACAATCCTCCAATGGTGGCATGTCATCATCCTCTTCCTCCTTCTCACTTTCTGATTCAACATCATTATGTCCAGTCATGATCATCACCCTCCTATTAGGGCACTGATTTGCCATATGACCCCTGCCCAAACACTTGAAACATTTAATATCACGAGTCTTAGTGTTAGGGTTTTCAGTTTTACCTGAAGCCGGATTCGAACCAACTTTGCCATCCTTCTCCTTCTCCTTCAAAGTTTTAGTCTTGATATTGTTTCCCTTCCAATTCGGCTTCTCGTCTCTCTTCCAATTAGACTTCCAAATCGAGTTTGAACCTCCACCACTCTTGTAATTTCGATCCAACTTCAATTGCCGCTCAACTTTGATGGCTTTGTCCACTAATTCCTCCAATTCAACGTAGTGTTGCAGCTCTATCACCCTTGCTATATCTCGGCTCAAACCACACAAAAATCGTGACATTGTGGCCTCACGTTCTTCCACCACATTAGCACGGATCATAACAATCTCCATCTCTTTATGGTATTCTTCCACACTCCTATTACCTTGTGTGAGATTTTGCAGCTTATGGAACAAGTCTCTGTGGTAATGACTAGGTATAAAGCGCCTCCTCATCACTGCTTTCATCTCATCCCACGTTTCTATTAGTCTTTCATCATTGCGTCTCCTGCTAGTCACAAGTTGATCCCACCAAATTATAGCATAATCAGTGAATTCAACAGCTGCAATTTTTACCTTTTTGAGCTCCGAATATCGCTGGCAATCAAATACCATCTCCATCCGTTTCTCCCATTCTAGATACGCATCAGGATCATTATTTCCTTGAAAAGATGGAATCTTCATCTTGATGTTGCCAAGCTCATCATCTTGATGTTGCCAAGCGACTCTCTCTTTCTCATTCCTCAATATAACTTTTCTCTTACGATTTTCCCAATAAGATTTTGGTAATCTTTAGCATGTAGAATTTCTTGTTCTTTTTCGCGTTACTAAGTTGAACTGTTATTTCACATTGCAAATTTCAGTGCAGATGCTGATGTGCGTCTAGCAAGGAGGATAAGACGGGATACTGTTGAGAAGGGCAGAGATATTGGTGCAGTTCTTGATCAGGTCAGATCTTTTCCTTTTTCTTTTTCTTCTTCTTACTCTTCGTCTCCTTCTTCTTCTTCTTCAATTTATCATGTTAATAGGGTTCTGCAAGTAATTTGTTACCTTGGTGCACTGCTAGTGTTTGACATGTACATATTAAGTTGACTAAACATTTTTCATCAATAGCATAAATAATTAAAAAAAGAAAAATTGCCATTGTGAATTCTTCGTTGGCAAGGCTAGGTGCATAAAAAAGATTTTCTTGAACTTGTGTGCCTCAGCATCCCTCTGCAGCAGGTAGATAAGAAGTGTCAGTAGTTCTGAACAAGTTCTGGAAAACTTGATAGATCTTCTGCAAGACCTGCTGCTAGTGGAAAACTTATTCTTTAAAGTAGAACAAGACGTGCTGGCCACAAAAAAAGGAAACTGACAAGTAAATATTTTGCTATTTTCAAAATATAATTTGCCACGCACATTCTGTGTTGATAGTATAATTAAAGACTCCGTACGGCCAAATATTTAAATCTCTCACCAACATCCTCAAAGTACCAATTATTTTTTTGCGCGTTTATACATGTAAAGACATCATGTTTAGGATGGTTATTCGGGGTTTCTGACATCAGTTTTTAATACATCTTCAAATTTCATGCAGTACTCAAAATTTGTAAAGCCTGCTTTTGATGATTTCATTCTTCCAACAAAGAAGTATGCTGATATTATTATACCCAGAGGAGGAGACAACCATGTAGCTGTTGATCTGATTGTACAACATATAAGGACGAAGCTTGGTCAGCATGACTTATGTAAAATATACCCAAATTTGTATGTCATCCAAACAACTTTTCAGGTATCGACCTTCTATATTCTTTAAGGTCATAAGTCTTGCTTCTGAGCTCTAAATGGCAAAAATATGCTATGTTTGTGTTCATTCTTTCATGTTCGTTTACAATTTCAACAATCTAGTATCCACTCACGCCTTCAGTCTTTTGCAGATACGGGGTATGCATACTCTAATACGCGATTCTCAAACGACAAAGCATGACTTTGTATTTTATGCTGATAGATTGATCCGTTTGGTGAGCATGTGTTTCTTCTATGACTTTGATGCTTTATTCACTTTTGTGTTTAAAATGCGATTTTTGGTTCTTTGAATCTGAAAATTGAGTCTTCTGTGCCTCAATTAGGTGGTGGAACATGGCTTGGGGCATCTACCATTTACAGAGAAACAGATTATCACTCCAACTGGTGAGCCAATACCTTCCAGATCTTTTTTATTTAGCCAAACAATTACTTCCTGATTGGTTGGAGCTATGTAACTTTTCATTTCTTTTCTGGCAATATACATCAAAGGGTTACTTGATACTTGTGCACTATCACATGAAGCAGGATGCTTTTGACAACATGTTTGCAACTACTTTTTTCTGTTAAGAGTATTTGTGCTTCCTACATAACTTAGTTTGCTGGTCTAGCAATTCTTTTGGAGTTGGGTATGATTATACATGCCAATTGTATCTTATGTGACAGAGTTATTTATTGTCTTTTTGGTCGATGGTAGTGGTGAAAGTATGGAGAACGCTCTCCGAGCGTGTTGTAAAGGGATTAAAATAGGGAAGATTCTCATCCATAGGGAAGGTGACAATGGCCAGCAGGTCTCTCTCTCTCTCTCTCTCCGTGCACATGTTTACTCAGGCACTTTTTCAGAATTTTTGTGATGTATTGAATCTTAATTTCTTCACATTTGTGTTTCCCAGCTAATATATGAGAAGTTGCCAAAAGACATTGCGGAGAGGCATGTCCTGTTGTTGGATCCAATTCTCGGAACAGGTTCGTGTTTTCACAAAGAAAAATCATTATAAACTTTGCTGAAGTTATGATATTGGCAAGCGTTGTTTACTGTCAATCCAAGTTCCAAGGATCCTATTCCGCGCCATCAACCCTCTCTCTTTGATATTTTCTATGGCCAATTTGTTACACATCTGTTCTATAAAAGTCAACCTGTCAGCCTTCCAGAATACTCGCCCTTATCCTTTCACTTGCATTGGAATACGCTGTATTATCAATCGACTTCCATGGTAAACATCAATAACGATATTCTCCCATCTCTACTTCGCAGGCAATTCCGCCGTTCAAGCTATTTCTTTGCTTATACAGAAGGGTGTTCCGGAGCCGAACATCATATTTCTCAATCTCATCTCTGTGAGTTAGATAACACCGGTCCCCCTTCGCCAATTCAACCCTCAACTTTGTGTTACCGTTACCTACCTAGGGCATTTTCTCAACCCTATTCATTTCCCTTTGTTCTCTTACCAGGCACCTCAGGGGGTGCACATGGTCTGCAAAACCTTCCCAAGAATCAAGATTGTCACGTCTGAGATTGACATCGGTTTGAACGAAGATTTCCTTGTCGTTCCCGGCATGGGCGAATTTGGAGACCAATACTTTGGCACCGATGATGATGACCAACAGGAGGTGGACCCTGCACTATAGTTCAGCCCGGAGCTTGCTGCTCACGCAGTTCGGTCGGGCGGCCCATATTCATGTTACCCCATTGCGTGGGAGATAAGCTTAATTTCTTGATAAATGATGTATTTGTATTTGTTTTTTCACCTGTGAAACAATTTTGTCTCCAAGGACTTCATGATTTCTATTTAATCCTTTGAGAGACCTCCCAATTTTCCTCTCTGTTCCTATAGAAAGGCTTGCAAGGAGTGAGCGAGGCAGTTGCACAAAATCAGCTCTGTTACTACGTCTTTGTCTCTTGTTCCTTTTTTTGGTCCCCTTCGGGCAGAAACTTACCCATTTTCAAAAGCATCTCGAATCTATCCGGACCGTCATTTTGGCGGCGAAGATACCGACCGCAAAAGCAATATCATCATGCACGGCTGCTTTTATTTCCGATGTTTTGGCGGGCAAAAAGCCATGCACATTCTCGAAGACAGAGAGCAGAAGTTTACTTTGTTTTTAGTGGTAGTAGAAGCCAAACAAGTGCGTTTGGTGACCATAAGATGGTCGAAGAGAGACTGGATCATGAAGAAGAGCTATTCCACACAAAATTGTTTTCGACGCTCATTCAGAGGAGTGGGTGTGAAACTGCTGGACGAGGGATACGTGGCGAGGGGAGGGATCACTCGTTGCTTTATCCGAGGATGATAGCCTTCGCAGGGATAATAGCTCGACACGTGTCGGGGGTGCGACACGGTGGATTCTGCTGGTATATTCCCCGGCTTCGCTCCATATAAGATTGTAGGGCAGTGAGAGTTTGCTTTAGCCTTTTCGACCTGTACCTTTCTATCCACTTCCTTCCTCCAAGCTTAACCAAAACCATGTCTGCCTTCGTGGGAAAGTATGCAGGTACTCTCTCTCTCTCTAATCTTCCAAAGAAAGATTAGAGCTATCGAGAATAATAGAAGAGTCTACTAAAGGTCCGTTTGGCAAGTTGCCAAATAGTAAAAATTTCTGTTCTTTTGTTCCCAGAATTAGTTTGGGAACAGAAATTCATTTGTTAAATTTTTTGTGCCCGGGTACAATTTTCCAAAAAATTGTTCTCAAAATCAGTTTTGGAATAGAATCAAGAAGCAAAAAAAAGTAACTTCTTGATTCTGGAACAATTTTTCCATTTCTGATTCTTCTTGATTTTCTTCTTTTTTTCTGGTTTGTTTTTCTTATTCTTCTTCTTCTTTCGGCCTGCCGCCGGCCACCTGCCGGTTGCCGGCCACAAGCCAGGGCCGTCGAGGGTGAGGCGGCCCTCACCGCCTGGGCAAGAGCAGCTTGCGGCCTCGACGGCGAGGCTGACCTTGCTGTCGCCACCCAGGTGTTCGACTGGGGTGGCGACGACGAGGCCGGCAGCGAGGGCCGTGACGCCCTCGCTGGCCCTAGTCTGTGGCCGGTCGCCGGCGCCGCCGATCGGCCATGGCCAAAGAAGGGAAGAAAAAAAAAAGAAAAAATATTAAAAAATTCAAAATATTATTAATAAAAAGAAATTTTGTATAGTTACCAAACGCATTTCTGTTTTTTTTTTCTTTCTATTCTAAGAATAGAAATTTTGGTCAGTTACCAAACTCTTTCAAATGCTTAGAAATTGTTCCCGGGCACAGAATAAAAAAGAATCATTTCTGAGCAGAATCAGTTTTCGGACACGGAATCGTTGCCATGCGCACCCTAAATGTGGCAAAAGTGATCTTATCATCAAGAAGTCATCACTCTAATTTCCATGCAATTTAACTTTGAGTTCCAGCTTCACTACTTGAATAGCTCTAATGAACCAATCTCAAAGTATCTGCACCTTGATGTATATTCTTCTTGACCGGAAAAAGGAAAATTTTATTTCCCCAGATGAGCTCATCAAGACGGCCAATTACATCGCCACCCCCGGCAAGGGTATCCTGGCTGCCGACGAGAGCACCGGCACCATCGGCAAGCGCCTGTCCAGCATCAACATCGAGAATGTCGAGTCAAACCGCCAGGCTCTCCGCGAGCTCCTCTTCACCGCCCCCAACACCCTGCCCTACCTCTCCGGCGTCATCCTCTTTGAGGAGACTCTCTACCAGAAGACGTCCGGGGGGAAGCCGTTTGTCGAGGTCCTCCAGGAGAACAATGTCGTCGCCGGCATCAAAGTGGACAAGGGCACCGTCGAGTTGGCTGGGACGAACGGTGAGACCACCACCCAGGGATTGGATTCGCTCGGCGCTCGGTGCCAGCAGTACTATAAGGCCGGTGTGAGGTTCGCCAAGTGGCGCGCGGTCCTCAAGATTGGGCCTAATGAGCCTTCGGAACTGTCCATCCAGCAGAATGCGCAAGGTCTGGCCCGTTACGCCATAATTTGCCAGGAGAATGGGCTCGTGCCAATCGTGGAGCCTGAGATACTTACCGACGGGAGTCACGACATCAAGAAATGCGCTGCCGCTACTGAAACCGTGCTCGCAGCTGTTTACAAGGCGCTGAATGATCAGCATGTTCTTCTTGAGGGCACACTTCTGAAGCCCAACATGGTCACTCCCGGCTCAGACAGCCCCAAGGTAATCTAATTCTTGAATATGCGAAGTCCAAAACTAGCCACCTTAGTACATGACCACATGTTACACCAGTTCAAATCCAAAGCATGATGAACAATTTGTATACCATTTGCTCAGGTACCGGCCAAGGTGATAGCTGAGTACACGGTGGCGGCGCTGCGCCGGACCGTGCCGCCGGCGGTCCCGGGGATCGTATTCCTGTCTGGGGGTCAGAGCGAGGAAGATGCGACCCTGAACCTGAACGCGATGAACAAGCTGGACGTGCTGAAGCCGTGGACGCTCTCCTTCTCGTTCGGGCGGGCGCTCCAATCGACCACCCTCAAGGCATGGGGAGGGAAGAAGGAGAACATTGGCAAGGCCCAGGAGGTGTTCCTGGCAAGGTGCTTGGCCAACTCGGAGGCCACTCTGGGCAAGTTCACAGGAGGGACTGCTGGTGGGTTGGCCTCTGAGAGCTTGTTTGTGAAGGGATACAAGTACTAGAAAGGAGAGAGAGTCACACTGGGCGGTTCACTGATTAATTAATCAAATTACTTGTGTATTGCAATACCTTTTATCGTATTCTTTTGTTTATTTCCTCCCTTTCTATGCTTACTTTCATTACATATTCTGCCCCCAAAGCACTGTTCACCCTCTCCAGTCTCGACCAATTATATTATAACTTGTTGAAAGTGCTTTGAACTTTTAGAGGAGTTTAACTTTGGATATGCAGTGTATTTTCCGGATAATCCATCTGTGTGAATGTCCTTCTGTTGTTTACCTCTTGGACCTAAGTTATAGTGTGTATCCACTAGATTTTGGCTGTCGACCGATCGGGTCAGACTACGATCTTCCGACCATTGCAACCGTTAAACATTCATTAGTTGGGCGAAAATTTGTAGGAATGCAAATAATACAGACTAGTATGTCGGGCATAAGCTAATTTGCTTTGTTTCGATGAGCAAATGAGATCGAAACTATTGACATTCCTAGAGCATCTGCCATGCTCGTTTTTCCTTCGTATGCTCGGGGCTGTTACGCTCCGCCATGCATCGAAAGGACTATCACACTCGATCATGGATCACTCCTGTGGCTTTCACAAGGTTCACCCGTGATTACTCTAAGGGTCTGCATAGCAACGTTTCTGTTCTCAAAAATAATTTCTGATCAGAAATTGTTTTTTTTATTTCTATTTCTTGGAACAGTTTCTGAGCAAAAAATAGCGTTTAGTAACTGCACAAAATTTCTATTCCTGGAATAGAAAAAGAATAAAAACGGGTTTAGGGCGCGAATGATCCATTTCTATTCCATGGACGAGTTTCTCCCTTTTGAGCTACCGGCGGAGGACGGCGGGTGGCGGTGGGGGACGGAGGACGGTGGTCGGCGGCGGCAGAGGATGGCGGCCGGCGGCGGGAGGCAGTGGAGCACGGCGGTCAGCGGCGGAGCACGGTGGCGTCGGGCGGCGGTGACGGCAGCGGGGGGCGGCGGCGGGAGGTGGCTGGCGGCGGAGGGTGGCCATCGTCGATCGATGGAGCACGGCGGCCGGTGGCGAAGGATGGCGGCCGATGGTGGGTGACCGCCGGCGTCGGGTGGCCAGGGGCGGGAGGTGGCTGGCGGCCGAGGGCAGCCAGCGCCGGGTGGTGGTCGGTGTCGGGCGGTGGAGCACAATGGCCGGTGGCGGAGGATGGCGGCCAGTGGTGGGTGGCCGGCGGCAGCGGAGGACAGCGATTGGTGGTGGGTGATCGCCGGCGTCGGGTGGTTGGCGGGGGGAGGCGGCCAGCGCCGGGTGGCGGCCGGCGTCGGGCGATGGAGCACGGCGGCCAGCGGTGGAGGACGGCGGCCGGTGGCGGGTGGCGACAAGAGTCGAGTGGCAGAGAACAGTGGTCGACGACAAGAGGCGGCCGGCGGCGGAAGGCGGGCGGTAGGTGGCGGCGAAGGACGGCGAGAGGCGGCGGTGGGCGGGTTGCGGCCAATGGATTGTTTCTTGTTTTTGGAGGATTCTAGAAAAAAAATTGTTTCTTTTTTCTTGTTCCAGAAACAAGAAGCAGATTTTTTTTGCTTCTTGTTTCTATTCCAAATCTATTTCAGGAACACTTTTTTGTTCCAGAAACAAAAAAAATATATTTTTTTTACTAAACGGATTTCTGTTCTTTTTCTGTTCCGGGGAACAAAAGAACAGAAAAACAAAAAAATAGAAACGTTACTAAACAGACCCTAAAGCTATTAATTATCTTAAGGGAAAAAACCACCAAAAACCCCAAACTTTGCTCCCTGTGACACATTTACCCCAAACTTTTTTTTGTGACACCAAAAACCCCAAACTTTACTATTTGTGACACATTTACCCCAATATACTATAGCCTAGGGTATTTTAGTCTTTTTCCCTTTTTCTATTTTTTTTTTCTTTTTTCCGGCAAGCTGCTCTCCGGCGAGGTCTCCGGCGACCTCGCCGGCGTAGGCGAGGGCTGCCCTCGCCCGCCCGGGCGGGCGCCCTCGCCGGCGTTGGGCGAGGCGGCCCTCGCCTCGCCGGCGTCGGGCGAGGGCGCGCCCTCGCCGGCGTTGGGCGAGGGCAGCCTCGCCTCGCCGGCGTCGGGCGAGGCTTCCTCGCCCCGCCCGGGCGAGGGCGGCCCTCGCTCGACGCCGGCGAGGGCGTCGGCGAGGGCGACCCTCGCTCAGGCGGGCGAGGAAGCCTCGCCGGGCGCCGGCGGGCGCCTCGCCCGCCCGGGCGAGGGCGGCCTTCACCTCGCTGGCGGGCGAGGGCCGCCCTCGCCCAACGCCGGCGAGGCGAGGCGGCCCTCGCGGGCGGGGCGAGGGTCCTTCGCCCGACGCCGGCGAGGCGAGGGATGCCCTCGCCCAACGCCGGCGAGAGCAGCCCTCGCCTGGGTGGGGCGAGGGCAGCCCTCGCCTGCCCCGGCGAGGTCGCCGGAGACCTCGCCGGCGAGGGCAGCCTTGCCGGAAAAAAGAAAAAAAAACAGAAAAAAAAATAGAAAAAGGGAAAAAGACTAAAATACCCTAGACTACGGTATATTGGGGTAAATGTGTTACAAATAGCAAAGTTTAGGGTTTTTGGTGTCACAAAAAAAGTTTGGGGTAAATGTGTCACAAAGGGCAAAGTTGGGGATTTTTGGTGGTTTTTTCCCTTATCTTAATGTGGAGATCAGACCATTTAAAAGTAGTTTCTTCACATGAATATAAACCACTGCTTTACCCTCTTGGTCGACAATACTTACCATAAGCAAGATACTGAATCACAAGATCTCGCTTGACCAATGAGTCAATGGACTCTCTTTTCAATGGGGTTCTTGAATCTGGGGACGCTTTGCTTGCTAATTTATATTGTTGATTTGACATTATCTAGCGTTTAGGATATGTATCTTGGTTTAATTGTTTTGGACAATGATATGATTATTCAATGTTGTCTGTTTTTGAGAGGTTTCTTCTCCTTCGTTTGACTATTTCTCTCTTTTTCCTTCTAGCTTTCTTTACTTGTCTTCCCGTTTCTTGCTATCTTGTTTTTCTCCTTCTCTACTATCCTAAACCCATCTTGTCATGTGCTACTGTTATTCGTCAATTGGGATTAGAGCAATACCATGTTTTAGATGACAGAGATAGACATCTCTGATTATAATTTTAATCATAAGGATTTTTAGAGGTTAATCGAGATTTTTTTTTATAATTGAATTATTATGATTATCAAGGCCATTATGATTGTCTTCTTTATCAAGATAGTTACACTAATTTTGATTGTCAGGATTTGAAGTGGAACATTTGACAATCCATTTAGAAACATTTGTCCATGAGACCACCCGCCTGGGTGGTACTGTTGGAGCGCGCACTCTTCCTCTCACAAAAGGTTGAGTGTTTGAATCCCGGGTGCCGCAGGGTGACTTAACCGGTGCACATGTGTGGTGGCTAGCATGTGTCGCCCCCAGGGTTTATCTCCCGGCTTTCGACCGTGCCGGGGTTCCTTGGGTCATCAAAAAAAAAAAAACATTTGTCCATGAGAATAGCTAAGTGACTGAGGCTTTTCAACCAATTAGTTTAGATGAATTATAGCTAACTGCTCATTTTGGGACATAGAATATCCTCGTCCTTAGTTTCGTTGTCGATTACATTATATCCCTCTTCCCGTGGGTCTTCCAAAGACCGTATTCTTCCACCAGCATCTAGGATTCGGAAGTCTAACTGACGAGCCTTAACAAAGCAAGAGAGTCGTCGCAGTTAGATACCCTGTGGCCTTTCTTCCCTTTCACAAAGTCAAGGGCAAGATGAACCCATCTCCTCCCCTCCGCGAGTAAATATTTTGTATTGAATAGCGTGAAAAACCAGGAGCAATAATAAGAGACTAAATCAGTGACTAGCTTTAGTGGTCTTGTTGGACTGCGAACGAGAAGAGCTTTTCTCTTTCAACTGGGAACTACTTACTTACCTATGGTGCTTTATAGATATAGTAGTAGATTCCAGAATAGGGTCGAGGGATAGGCTTGATGCCAGATCCGCTTTTAGGGTTGGCTCGGCATACAAAGAAGTAAGTAGTTCGACTAGTTGTTCGCTGGTTCCTGTTCTTCTCCCTCCCATTACTGGAATCGACGAAAGGCGAGAGTCTGGTTACCCCTTATTCAAATTGCAAGGCTTAGTCTTCTGTGAGTGAATGAACCTAGCACAATCTTCTTAGCAAGGGATGAGTTGCCTTCTTCAGATTGAAATTCTCTTTGGGAATCATATCCCAAAGCTCTCACTCATAAGGTTTTTGGCGGAGAAATTGTCCAATCATTCTTAAACCTGCTATATTAAACTTGCTATATTGATGCTAATTTAGTCATACATTTTTCAATTTTACCAATTTAGTCCTAAACTTTTATGCGAAATTTCAATATAATTCTTTGAACTTTTATTTGCTGAAAATCGTTAACGTGATGGCGTGCCCATATAGGACGATTGACGGTGACTGGATTGTCATGTCAGTGATTTTTGGCGAAAATTAATCGGAAAAACTATATTAAAAATTCGCACAGAAGATTATGACTAAATTTAAAAAAATTAAAAAGTTTAGAACCAAATTAATATCCATACAATAAGTTTAAGAGTGATTGGACAAATGTTCCAGTTTTCGGCTATATGATTGCCCATGAACATAAGTTTCTAATTTTTTCAAACATTAATGACCTTAAGTGAAGTTACTTTAGTTTTATTAAATGTTTGCAGATTTTTGTGGCATACGCAATTTGACTTTTATTCAATACGGAGCACTTAATAATTTTTGAATTTTGTTAATATCGATATATAAATCCGCATGTGATTTTTCATACCGTTTTAGAGTTTGAATAACATTTTTAGCGGTGGGAAAACCAGGCAATAAATACCTTATTATTAAAAAAAAGGATCTTGTCTATAATTTTTTAATTTCAAAATAATAAGTGCGCACTAGATTGCGTAATTTTCTCAATTAATCATTTTAGGAATGCTAACAAAGGCCTCAAATATTCCTATTTTTACCTGTATTATTTCCCCCTTTTGTTTTTTTTTCTTCTTCTGCTTTTTATCTGCATTTCAACTCGGTCACTCCATTGACCCTCCTAAAAGGGATTATTACGGCAAAAAAACAAATGTATATATGACAAATTTATCCAAAATTAATTTTTTGATCACAAAAAATTTAAATTAGTACACTGATGATAATTTTTTGATCATAAAAACCTTTGGTACCCTTGTGACAAATTTACCCTCCGTTAAATTGGATTAATAACTCGAAAAATTATAAATGGGTAAATCTGTAACAAATAGATGAGTAAAACCCTAAACTGGTAGACTCCTCAACTGTTACGTGTTTTTCAATTCAGCAATTTGACGGTTAACAGAAATTAACAGAGGGTAAATTTATCACATGTATATCAGTTTGGGTTTTTAGAGATTTAAAAATTAGTTTGCGGTAAATTTTCATAAGTGTACAGTTGGGGTTTTTTTTGTAGTATTAAAAAAATGGTTAACACCATGAAAAATCCCAAACTGGTGCACTTGTGATAATTTTACTTGAATTAATTTTTTGACCACAAAAAGCCTTAAACCGGTACATCTGTGACAAATTTACCCCGAACTATTTTTTTACCACAAAAAACCCCCAAACTGGTACATCCGTAATAATTTTACCCCGAAATAATTTTTTGATTACCAAAAACACCAAACTGGTACACCTGTGATAAATTTACCCAAAACTAATTTTTTGACCACTAAAAACCTCAAACTAGTACACTTGTGACAATTTACCCTCGTTAAATTGGATTAATAGCACGAACAATCACAAATTGATAAACTTGTGACAAACTGAGGGGTAAAACCCCAAATTAGTACACCCATCAACTACCTTGTGTTATCAAACTTAGTAATTTGATAGTAAAATTTAATAGAGGGTAAATTTGTCACAGGTGTATCCGTTTGGGGTTTAAAAAATTAGTTTGGGGTAAATTTATCATAGGTGTACCGGTTTAAGGTTTTTTTTTTGTCAAAAAATTAGTTCGAGGTAAAATTGTCACAGGTGAATCAGTTTGGGGTTTTTCGTGGTCAAAAAAATAGTTCGAAATAAATCTATTTTCGAGATAAATTTGTCACAAATGTACCAGTTTAGGGTTTTTTGTAGTATTAATCTTTAAAAAAAAAAAAACTCCATCGCTCCCATTAAATTAAATTAAAAAGAAAAGAAAACTCCACTCACTTCGATCGTCTTTGGGACTTCTCCAGAACCAGACCGTCCCACCACCGCCCACCAACAACCAGGCCTCCGCCGCTCTCTCTCTCTACTCTCCGATGGCCTCCGCCGCCACCACCGCCCTCTCCCTCCGCCTCTTCGCCGCCAAGCTCCCCTTCCCTCTCCGCCCCTCGAAGTCGCCTCCTCCCCTCCTCCTCTCCTCTCTCTCCTCCGCCAAATCCATCTCCTTCCAGCGCATCGACGCCGCCAACCGGCCGCCGCCGCCGCGCGCGTCGTCGTCGTCCCCGCCCTCCTCATCGGCGCAGCTCCAGCCCATCGAAGACCTCCCGCCGAGCCTCCAGTCCATCGTCACCCTCTTCCAGTCGGTGCCCGACCCCAAGTCCAAGTACCAGCAGCTCCTCTTCTACGGCAAGAACCTCGAGCCCCTCGACCCGGCGTTCAAGACCCGCGACAACAAGGTCGAGGGCTGCGTCTCCCAGGTCTGGGTGAGGGCCTACCTGGATTCGGACGGCAACGTCGTCTTCGAGGCCGATTCCGACTCGGTCCTCACCAAGGGCCTCGCGGCTTTGCTTGTCCAGGGGTTGTCCGGGAGGCCGGCGGACGAGATTCTCCGGGTCTCGCCTGACTTCGTGACGCTCCTCGGGCTGCAGCAGAGCCTGACGCCGTCGCGGAACAACGGGTTCTTGAACATGTTGAAGTTGATGCAGAAGAAGGCGCTGTTGTTGGTCGCCGGGGCGGAAAGTGAAGGAAATGGGGCGGTACCGGCGGGGGAGGCGAACGATGTGGGCATTGGAATGAATTCTGATGTGGGTATTGATAGGAGTTCAGTCTCAGAGTCGGGTGACGATGGTGGCAGGGAAGTTTCGGCGGAAAAATCGAATCTTGAGGTGCATGAGGCTGATGGTGAATCAAGTTTGGGGAGTAGAGGGCAGAGAATCAGGGAGAAATTAGAGAAGGAGCTGAGTCCTATTGAGTTGCGGGTGGAGGATGTCTCATATCAGCACGCAGGGCATGCCGGTGTGAGAGGGAGTGATGGCGAGACACATTTCAATCTGAGAGTCGTGTCGAAGGAGTTTGAAGGAAAGAGCTTGGTGAAGAGGCACCGGCTTGTTTATGATCTGTTGCAAGAGGAGCTGCAGAGCGGGCTACACGCCCTGTCGATTGTGGCGAAAACGCCGGCTGAAAGTTGATGCGAGATGAAGAGGGGAGTTGTATGTTGGCCACAGGTGGTCATTTCATCCCCGAATCATGTTTTCCCAAGAGGACAAATAATTTTGTTTTGCTTGATAGAGAGAGGGATATTCCTTGTATAGTTGTTTTGTAATCTACTGAATTGCCAATGTTAGATCTTTGACCATCATTGTTCAATTGGTTTGAGTTTCAAATGATCAACTGCAATAGTTGTATGAAGAATTGCAGAAAATCACACGAGTTCCTTTTGAGTTCCTGCAGTGCCTTTTTATTTACTCTTTGGTTGCTTGTCTTAGTAGGTTGCTTGTCTTAGAAGGTGAGCGTAACATCTAAATGAAATACACTGATGATCGGAATCACACTTTTGCAGTATCAAAAAGTTGGTCTTATACATTCCCTCTATATGTGCGTGGTCATAGTTTTACTCCTTATTTTTGTCAATTCTTCCTTATGCACTCGGTCTGTCAGCTATACATAAATTGGATACTTCCTGTCAGAGGTACCTTTCCAAATGTCCTGGGCAGCTGAACTAACTCTGTCACTGAGATGCAGTGTGCGCATTGATGAGGAATGTATCCTAAAGCACCATTGTTAAATAACGCATTGTCTATTATATCTGGGGTCAAAGGTTTTGGAAAGCAAATACAATCGCCAAAGGATTCACATATATGTTGCTTGTAGCAATTTTATTTTACCGAGTTTTATCAGTGTTAAGAGTATTAAATTTAGAGATGATAGTATAGAAAACCGTTGATGGCATAAAGATGGATTTGCATATGTAGAAAGTTATAGCTAACTGCTTTTGAGAATTAAATAGTTCTCATGAATTTAATCTGATGATGAAAGTGAGCTATATATTGTCATTAAAATTGATTTCATCCCGTGATTAGGCTACAATCAATTCAAGTTTGATCAGAAAGATGAAAGCAAAGATATACAAGGAAAAAGCTGCCTCCGGATAGTCATCTCTTTGCCTTGCAGGTGCGGCCTAGTAGCACACCAGTTGGTGGACTAGTCATTTCTAACTGGCATCGACCATGCAGCCAATAAGAGAAATGAACCAAACCCAGAGTTGCTCTGACCTTGAAGGTGCCTCTCACATAGTAGCTAACTTTGTTGCTCTGTACCTCCTTCTGAAGTTGAATGCCCAGGTTCGGCGGCATGTAGACCAAACTTGATATCAAGTGAACTGATTCCAACCTCTTTTCTCCTTGTCTTAGAGTGAAAGGTTGAAGTGTTTGCGTGGCTATGAACCTGTCAGAGAAATACAGACCTACATCCAGATACTCAAATCTCACATCCAGCTTCTTATTTGGATTGGAGAAATTCGCAAGAAGGATCAAGTCACCATTGAAATAGTCTAGCGAATCAAAGTAGATGCTGTTGAGATTGGCTGTAGATATGTCAAAAAGTGGATACCTTGGTTTGATTGCCACGAAAATTATCAAAGTTGCGATTCCGAAGAAGATGAGAATGAGGCTAAAGAGGAGACACAGTATGGCGCTGCACCACACGAGCAGATTAGTCCTGTGAGGTCGAGTTTGCTGAAGTACTAGTCCAGATCTCAACTTTTGCGTGCCAAGATCAAGCCTGTCCTGCTTTCTAGTAAGTGGACTAATACCTCGCCTTGATTTTGTGATTTGGATAGGTGAGATTGGAGTAGGTTGTTTTTTGGAGGGAGTTGGTCCTCGTGAACTTGGTGGTGATGCTGATGGTGGTGGAGGAAGAGGAGGAGGAGGAAGCGGAGACGGGGGTGGAGGTGGGAGATTGAGCATTTTCATTTGCTAGAATGGTGTTACTGGTATCAAGAAAATAAAATTAAGGGGAAGAAGGGATGAAGATTGGTGTTGCTTTTTGATCTCTAAAGAAGAAGGGGTTATAATAAAGCAAAGGGAAAAGAGGCTTTTGAATGAGCTTGGGACCATCACGTTCTTGAAATATGCAAAAGGGGGAATAAGTGGCTCTAAAGCGAAAAAAGAGGATTCAAGAGTTTATTTGAATTAGCTTTTCAAGATCTACTGTATTTGCAGCACTTTTTGTGCAATTATAATAGATAAATTACCAAAAGTTCTTTTGGCTTCTCTTGTAGGTCTGATGCACAGAATATACTATCATATTGTCATTAAAACCAAATATGTGAAATGGCATTGTCTCTGTCATGTTCCATGAGCACTTGGACAGAAAGCTAAATACAGCTAAAGACATACCATTTGAATTAAAGGAAGAATTCTGACCAAAAAAAAAAATTAAAGGAAGAAACTTCCTACCACAGATTAAGCCCTAACAGGTGTATGTAGGTGCATATTTTAAGTTTATACTAAATAAAGATGTCATGACAGTGGATTCTCGTACTTCTTGATATCAACATCCTTTCATGATTTTTTATGAAATTGGAGTTCAAAGAAAGTGACGGTGGTAAACAATACCGATGTTCGACGGCGATTAGCTGTGACCATTTTGGTCCCAGGACAACATTCTTGTGTAAAAGTTACGAGGCTTGTGCTAACAATGCCGAGATCAACAGAGCCTACAGTGTTTATTTAGTATTTCATCATTGGGTTAATTGATGCGAGTAGACTATCTGCACATGAGTACACAGTAAATGGGACCGTCGAAGGAATCTGTTCTTCGTGAATGATCGGCGTCTTGGTCGTCCTAATCCCCTCCTTTCTGCATTAATCAGTATTTGAGAGCGACGTCTGAGTCTGCGAATAAGTTTCGCATCCAAGAAATTGGGATTATGTGGGATATGAGAGACGGAACAGCTAGTATGCAGTAAGGTTTCTTGGCTCTTGCTAAGCTGTCTGTAGCACATTGCCACTTGAGGACACAACTTCTAGGAGTCTGACCAGTTCATTACCTCAATGAAGTAGAATGGTTACCAAACACACCCTAAATTTTTCTGGAAGTGTGTTGTCACCGTAGACGTTTCAATAATTTAGAATTGAAAACATATTCGCTTGAACTCTTACGACCTATTCATGTTATTTATAAGTCAAAGTCTTTGAAAGATTCCTGCGTAAGACCAGTGCCTTACGGAGGCCAACAGTTAGTACACTTAAAAGGTTTCCTTTTCTCCTTCGTGGTGTTAGCGAGTGAAAATGGCTTCCCTAGCTGTTGAAGCAACACTGAGATTGGTGGACATAGTCTCCTCCTTAATCCTCGAAAGGATCAACCAGAAAAAAGATGTGAAGGGGGATATTGATTGCATCACGAGCTGGTTGAAGACAATGCTAGCTTTCCTGAGCAACCTAGAAGGAACTCGAGGCAACCGGCGTCTTCAGGACAAGGTACACCAAATTCGAGATTTTGCATATGATATTGAGGATGCTTTCGATGAGTTCGTGTTTCGCGTGCCGCAACATTTGCATACGCACAAGATCACGACATTTGCACACGAGGTTGCTCATTTTGCCCCACAAAGGGTAGCCCTTCATGAAATATCTTCCAGGATCAAAGAAATTAGAATTAAAATCCAAAATTTTAAAGATCTTGAATATCTGCGCACTGGAAATAGAAAGCAGGAGCTCTGGTGTGTGGTCTGCAGATCATTTGGCCCACCGAGTTATTGAAGAAGATGATATCGTGGGTTTCGAAGGCCACGTGGAATGCATCCGTGATCAGTTGCTATCCGGAGAACCCAGGCTTTCCACAATTTCCATTGTGGGGCCTCCTGGTTCGGGTAAAACTGTTCTCGCTAAGCAGGTTTTTGAGTGCAAGAGAGTTCAGGGGCATTTCGACTTCCATGCTTGGGCGCATGTCTCTCCTTCTTCAAAGCTCGATGAACTTTTAAGGAGCATATTAACGCAATTCTTTCCTGGGATGGATGGGTCAGTTCTCATAAATGGAGTTGCTGTTACAGAAATTTTCTGTAAATATATGCAGCAGAAACGGTTTGTTGTTGTTCTGGATGACATATGGGAAAGGCAAGATTGGGAACAGATCGTTATTGTATTACAGAATGGTTCCAGTGGTAGAAGAATATTGGTCACTTCTCACAACGGGCGATTTTGGCCCGTCTTGTGTCGAATACCCCAAATATGTCCACAAACTGAATGGTTTACCATCGGAGAAAGCATTAAGCCTATTCTGTAAGACGGCTTTCCGGAGCTGCAATGGGATTTGGCCCCCCCCCCCCCCCTTGGAGGATTGATCCGTGAAAATAATTAAAAGTGTGAAGGGCTTCCCTTAGCAATAATAGCAGCGGGCAACCTTCTATCAAAAAAGGGGCAAATTCCATATGAATGGAAGAAATTGCACGGCAACTTCGGAGCCAATCTTCATGTTATCGGGAGTAGTCTATTGCCAAGTTACAAGGACGTCCTGAGCGATCTAAGAAGCTGCTTTTTGTACTTCAGTATTTTTCCTGAGGACTATTCGATTCAGCGGCAAAGATTGATTCGCCTATGGATAGCTGAAGGATTCGTGAAGCACATCTCTGGAGGAAACCACAGAGAATTATCTTAATGAGCTCATTCAGAGGAATCTGTTTCATGTGACAGTGAGGGATATCGATGGACGGGTGAGAAGTTGCCGTGTCCTCAATCTTGTTCACGAAATCATCATGACAAGGCTGAGGAAGAGAACTTTGTCAGATCTGCATCCGAAAGAAGCTCATCGTCACAGGGAAGAATCCGGCGCCTATCTGCTCAAACAGATATCCGCACAAATGTTGAAGTTAGTCAAACATTAAGACACGTTCGGTCTGCTTTCATGTTTGGGAGAGGAAAGTTTTCGAGCTTAGAGTTTTTCCAGTTGTTAAGGATTTTAGATATGCAAGGCGCTCCACTGGAGGATTTCCCCATCGTTGTTATCAAACTTGTGCTTCTAAAGTACCTGAGTTTTCGAGAGACAAATATAAAGACAGTGCCCAAGTCCATAGAGAAGCTCACCCTCCTCGAAACCTTGGACCCCAAACAAACAAGAGTCACGCGGCTTCCAGGGAGCATCTTTCGGCTCCACCATTTGCGTCATCTGCTTGTTTATAGATATGACGCGAAGAACGTGACTTATGGTGCAAAGGGCGTTGAGATGCTCAGTGGAAGGGGCCTTATCCAACATACGTGTTTTGCCGAGAGTGGCCTTGAACGAAAGATCTTTCACCGAAGGGAAAGATCTTCGGTTTTTTGTGAGTAACCGGGTCCTGTGTTGTTTCGGAAAGGAAGCAACGAATTCTACGCTAATAACGAACAAAAGTAAAAGGGCAAAAATATAAATCGTGCAATAAGAGATATATTAATGATAGCAATTGAACAAAACAGGACTACAAAAGGTGTGCTTTTTTGCAGTCAATTTTGGCAAAAGGGTCTTTCTTCATGATCTCTTGGAAGCTATTTATAACTAACGCTAAAGAATAACCGCTAGCGAGCAGCTACTGTCTCGATTCCGGATTATTTAATCTTCTTTCCGATAACCGTTCCTTTATTCCGCGATATTATCGACACCATATGAGGTAACCGCTCTTATCTTTATCCCGATGTCCCGAATGGTTATCGGTACCAAGTTCTTGGTATCCCATATGTTGGGCCTTGTAAGGACCCGGGGTCTACACTGTGTAATATTGTCCGCTTTGGGCCCACTGACCCTCACGGCTTTAAAACGCGTTACACAGGATAGGCCACCCAGGCCTTATAAGCAACCCCAGGACTCCCTCCCTAAGCGATGTGGGATAGAGAGATGCCCCCCTTGCCATCCTAGATGCTTGCCAAGAGCCGCTCCTTGTCCAGGTCCTTGAACCCCGGTGACCACTCCCCGCCCTCGTCGGACCGGGTAGTTACATTCTCCCCCCCTTTGGGCACAGCGTCCCCGCTGTGGCCCCACACGCGGTCGGGAGTCGGCTCTGATACCACTTGTAACACCCCGGGTCTACACTGTGTAATATTGTCCGCTTTGGGCCCACTGACCCTCACGGCTTTAAAACGCGTTGTCTGGGGTAGGGCCCCAACCCATCCCAATCCAATATTGTCCTCTTTGGGGATCACACACCCCTCAAGGCTTTGTTCTCAGCACGCATACCAATTCAAAACGGGGATGTCACGCTCCGAACCCCATCGAGCTCGCGACATCCCCTGCTCCGGTCGAAATGATGCGACGTCCCAGGAACGTCGCCGATCCAATCCAAACATCAGAGCCACACGCGGAAGCGGATATATAAAACAAAACCCCGGACAGAAAGATGACGACAACAGGGAAGACTACCCTAACAATCAAATAACACATATTCATACAGCACCAAATATATAAACATCATATTACACACATATACAACAAACCAGCATCTGAAATCACCGTCATAATAAAAGATCAGGGTCTGGTTAACTTAATTTCCCTATGGGTCAACTCATTTCACACAACCCCTAAAGTACCCTAGGGGGAAACTACTGATCACCCTCTTCCGATCTGCTCCTGAATCTCTGGCTTGAGCCTCCAGAAATCTTTTGGGCATCGCCTACGAACTCACCCGCAGCTCCCCTGGGCACCAAAGGCAGTTCCCCGGACTTCCAAAAAGAGGAGGCGGACTTCCCAGGTTTACGACTGGGGGTCTGAAATTGTGGATTATACAACTATGAGACGAATCTCAATAAGTGTACAACCCCAAACCCCACGTAGGCACTCACGTACCGCCAGACGAAACACGCACCACTCACAACGTTCAACCAAATCAACAAACACATACGAACATACCTGGAACTCATTAAGCACATTCCTGCATGTTAGACAATAAGGTAGCCAACACGTCACAGCAAAACATCACAACCACGCGCATGCCTCGATTATAAGGCAAAACCTACTTGGGCACGTCCCATACCATGCCTAGCAGATTTTTCCCCATAATAGAGCACTACAATACGCGATGCACCCACACTCGCACACGAACTCACACCA